CCCCCCATTAAAGAACTGCTAATGCAGCCTTTGCAGCATGGCCAGGGTCGAGTTCCACCAAGTGACTTATCAGGCTGTTGGCACGAAGCCGCAGGAGCTACAGCTGAATTTCAGCCAGCTATGCAGTGGCTGGGTATGATTGCATGAAGGGCTGCACACTCTTTGGACCTACTGCAGCACATCATGAAAGCTAGGGTACTGAACTAAAAAGCAGTACACCACCAGGTTGGGGACATATGCCATGCAATGCACGTGTGTCAACTTTTCCTGGTGGGGTGCAGACAGCAGGGTGGTGCCACTGTCACACGCAGCTCCAGTGGTTTTCCCCATCCTGCATTTTTGCCTGCAGATTCACTTAGTGGACCATAAATGAGATGTAACGTCCCTGCCCATGCTTGCTGGACTTCGTATCTGTGGTCATGTGGACCCTGCTAAAAACTGGGAATTTTTTTTCCATATGCTGGTGAAGGGCAGGGATGGCAACCGGGTACCTGCCACTATGGTACAGCACACGCTGCAAATTAATGAAAGGAACAGAATCCACTGGATTGAACTAGAGCAGCTGTAAAACCTGCAATACAGCCAGCTGTAAAGCTTGCTTGATGTGCCATAAGCAATTTCTCTCCAACCCCTTGTCAGGCTCCCACCCCTATCATTTGAGGTCACAAATGTTGTAGTGGATACAGATGGAGATTGGTGTGGACTGGTGGAACAGATAGAAAGAGGGGGGTGAGAAGGAGGAGGATTGTGGGCCTTTGGCTGATGACCGGTAGCATTCCCGTGCTGTTCCCACCAAGCTATGTTGTGAATAACCATGTGCCTCCTCATGCATGTGGTACCAAAATGACTGGTAGATTTAGAACCCTAAAACGTTGCAGGCAGAGGCTGAAAACCACCACACTGCCTCTATAGCACATGTATGAAAAAAAGGTCCAAACTGCTGAGCCCTGCAGAGCGGACCTAGAGATTCAAGTAGCCTGCACCTGGTGAGCTGTGCCATCTGGTAGAATCGGGCAGCTGCTCCCTCCTCTCCTCTTTATTTTGCTCCTTTGAGACATCTAGCCTTGCTGATGCTGTGTCTCTCCCTTGCTTTCTTTCTCTACATTCTTGGACACCCAGATTCGGTCTGCAACCTCATCATTCCCATCCTTTTTATCACTGGAGCCCACTTGGCAGTAAGTTGCAGGCGCAGGTACATCATTGGCAATTGAGTTTTTCTGCATTTTGTCCCCTCACTCTGTGTAACATGTGCTCCCTTCCGCAAGATCTGATAACATTAATTGATGTGCATCCTCCTGCTGCAAGTGACAGAAGCTGTGCTGAAATAATTCTGGCGACACTGCATGCCAGTTTGCGGGGCTACGGAGGGATTAGATGTTGAAGAAGAGGGTGCATTTGTAGCTGCTGATAGCACTGCATTACTCCGCGCCTGGGAGAAGGAGGAGGAGGATGATGATGAGGATAATCCACCAACTGCTGTGCATGTTCTGGCTGCCCACAGCCAGAAAGGAAAGGAAGACGTGCCCTACCTCTCAAAGTTACAAGCCAACCACTACTTTGGCTTGTAGATGCATTACTTCATTATCCCCTACTAGATGCATGTGAAAAACCTCTGATTCTCCCTTAAGGCCTCCCAGGCTGATGACTACTGTATATGCAGTGGCGGAACTACCGCCGGTGCAGCCGGTGCCGGGCACCGGGGCCTGTGGCTGTGTGGGGGGGGCAGTGGGGTCCGGTCCTGGGCTCCCCCACAGCCCCAGTGGGGTGCGATCCGGTTTTGTTTGGCAGTGCACGGTCCCGATGTTTGAACACCGGGGCCCCGCACTGCCGACGGGCATCTCAGTGAGGGGGCGGGTCCTGTGATTCACCTCCCCTCCCGGCCATGTCCATAGTAACAAGCAGCGGGAGGGGAGGTTCCCCCCCCCCTGTCTTGGGAGGGGGGCCCAAGATAAAATCTTGCACCAGGGCTCTTTGGTTATTAGGTCCGCCACTGTGTATATGTGATTGCCTAATTTTATTACCAGCTATGGCAAGAGGGGGGATTGAAGATCTGCTGCTTTGGTGCAGTTGACACTGAGGTGATTATGTGCAGTGATGTGCTTTGTATATGTCACCAACAAGTTCACTCTGCTGACCCCTAAAAGTAAAACAATAAAAAAACCTTATCACAATAAAATATGCCTCCCCCAAAAAATAAAAAAATAAACAAATTAAAACCTAAACACCAAACATTAACCCTAAAACTGTGATTGCAATGGTTGGTACACATTCACACTGCAATGCAATTTACAGTAACAAAGCATTGATGCCACTGCACAGCACAGTGAATACAGGGGCTCCACTCCACTTTCTGCAGTCCACCGCTCTGCAAGTCACTGTAATGTAGCAGTGGCAATATGCATCACTGACTATATCACTGTGGAAACACACTATTATCATTGTACAGATAGCACAAACTGTCTCTCTGTCACAAAGATGTCAGCTGTCCCTCACTAACTCCAACACACACTGACAAACAAATTCTGGGAGAGCTGGCTTTTGTAGGACACAGGCCAAAATTACTGGCCAAATGTGTTTCAACTGACCAGAATTCACAGATTATGCAAAGCATTATGGGGTTTACTTTGATGAACCTGCCCATATGTTTGCCCTTTGTGCAAAGTACAAAATTCACCATTAACCCAACTTGGCGTCAAGCGCAAATGTCATCCCTACATGTGAGATCTTTTTTGTGAATTGACATTTAAATATAAAATGCTGCAGCAATCCATGGTATTACACACACACACACACACATTGTAGATTCAGCTGATTCGTGCAAGTAAATTTTTTGAGATTTGAAACATTTTTGTTTGGAAAGTTAACAAATAATGTCCAGTAAAGAAAATACCTAATTCTTTCTGCTTTACAAAATGTACACCAATGTTCTCAATATTGCTACATGCCATGTGATGATTTTATTTATTTCATCTTTTAGATGCAGATTCCAAAAATGTATAGTCTGCAACCTGTTACCGTGCATCCTTGTTCTATTTTTTAATAACTTTTTAATGGTGCATATTGTTTGGTTATCCAAAACACACACATTACTACCATCATCTGCCAATGTCAGTTTATCTGCAGTAATGGTTGTGTGTAAATCTCACACACAAGTGTCTACTCTCTCTGTATGCTAAATACAACTGTTACTGCAGTGAAAATTTTGTAAATATACACCATTCAGCTGTTACACATAACTTCAGGCTTGACTAGAAGCAGTGTGACTCTGTGGAACTCATCCAACTTTGCATGACGTGCTCAAGCAAGTGAAACGTGTTCTTATTTTAACACTGCGTTCAAATGTACCTCCCACAAAAAAACACTTGTTCAGTGAGACACAGAACAATGCGTAAATGTATACTACAGTGTGCAAATTCATGGATTTTTCTTCTGATTTCAGTACATTGATATTTGGCTGCTAGGGTTGACGGCTCTTTGCACATCCTAAACATTGCTTGTACTTTTGTACTGAGAAAGTGCTTGTATATGTCTGAAAAACAAATACAAAGCAAGCAAAGAGATTGCTTTACTTCAGAGGCTGTCCAAAGGAAACCTGTAAGAAAAATATGGAGACAGCCTTTTCTTACTTCTCTGTCTGAAAATGTTAGCTGCCTGGTTATCCTTCAGAGTCACTGATTGAAAACATGGGGTTGATTTACTAAAGGCAAATAGGCTGTTCACTTTTCAATGGAATTTTCCATTAGCTTAGGAAATGAGGTGAACCTCTGCTGACTTCCATCATCCAATCATGTGCAAGCAAAATTACTATTTTTAATTTTCTTTGTGCATGATTGGGTATTCTATACAAAGTGACATTTTATCTCATTCACTAAGCTAAGGCAAACCCCCTTTGCTAAGTGGACCATCTACTTGCCTTTATTAAATCACCCACCAAGCATGCAGATATTCAGAGCAAGTTCTACTAATATTGTTACATTACCTCTCTACTTCTTTGGGTGGTGATTAAAAAAGGCAGCTTCTGAGGAATTGGCAAGGCTGCAATGCACATGGAGCTTTTATTGCTACTGATTAAATCCCCTGTATTATATCTGTTGTATTTCTATGAAAAATACTGTGAGAAGTACTGACTGTATAGATACTTAGGTGATCTATTTCTTGAATAGTTTTATGAATTTACTTTATTTTGCAAATATAGTGACCTACTAATTTAAGTGGTATAGTAATAGAACACAATTATGATCTGGATCATACCATACCAAGTCGATTACCATACCATTAGAGTTTTGGCTGGTGAATTCTTTATTGTGGGTGCTGTCTGTTCTGATTTGATTTAAACTCCACTCATATCTATGCCATGTGGGAGCACTTGCGATGGCACATGCATTCCTGCAGTGTGTGTTGCAAGGTTAGGTGCACTTTAGTTCCATTATTTCTTAACGGCTCCCCAATGCACTTAGCCATCTCATGTGCATTGTGTTGCACCACATCACATGATAACCTATTACCGTGTAAAGTGGTGCAATTAATAAGAAAAGTTGCAGCAGCAGTAGGCAGACCATTCAAATGATGGGGCTGCCTAATGCAGCTCAACACAAGCACACCCTGCAACACCTTTGCGATGAGTGAACCAGGGCTTAATGTTAGATAACTTTTGCAGATATTCCTCTTACCAGTTAGATGGTGCTGAACACATGGCTGAGCCCTTCTTGTTTTATTGGAAAATATGAACACAGAAACAAGAAGGGCTATGTATCCACTACCACCTGACTGGTAATCATATCTGAAGTAGCTTTCAAACAGGTTATGGAACCAGCTGTAGCTAAAGTACTAATCACTGTTGCAGATACAGGTACAGCTCAGGTACAGCCCAGCGAGAGAGTCTCTCAAAAAGAAAAAAGTATTTCAACATCGTATTTCATAAAAAAGTGTACTTGCTAATCTCTCAAACCAGAACCTGGAAACTAAAAATGAAGATGCTGCTGGTAAGAGAGGGTACATGAAAGAGTATACAAGCGCCAAGACCAAAGCTACCTACAGATGAGTTGACAGAGCGAGATCAAAAAGCTTAAAGTACTAAATCCCTCAGCATTGATGATGAGTGTGCACATATGCAAGCATTAAACTGCAAATAAAATGTGAGAGGAGCTACAGAAAGTACATGATAGAGAAAATCTTAGCAGTAAACGGTACTTAATTAGAAAGCTATACAAGACTAAGCTGATGAAAATAGGCTAATCAGTTTGCAACAGAATTCTTCCTTAGCTTAGTGAATGTGGAAAAAAAAACAGTATGTTTGCTTGTACATGATAAGATGATGGAAGTCAGAGCTTTACCTTGTTCACTAAGCTAAGAGAAAATTATATTTTGAAGTAAAAATTCCCTTGCAAAGTAAATAGCCCTTTTTACATTTTAGTAAATTAACCCCTACATATTCAAAATATAAGAATTAATTCCTGATTTTCTGTTTGTATTCCAGGTGACAGTGAAATATATCCAGAAGAATGGAGCGGTTATTCCTGTACGTGTTCACACCATTGTAATATCAGTGCAGCACGATGAAACTATCTCTCTGAGTGACATGCAGGAAGCCTTAAAGGAGAAAGTTATAAAGGCTGTAGTTCCTGACAAGTACCTTAATGAAAAGACCATATACCACCTACAGCCTAGTGGACGTTTCGTCATTGGTGGCCCTCAGGTGATATGACCTTTTGTAATACATTTTTTAGCTACCTCTTTTAGGTCTTTCTTTGTTCCAAATCCCAATTTCAAGTGGCTTTTTAACTGATAATTTCCTATGTATCATTTCTTAAAGTGTATGTAAACCCTAACACTGAACCTCTCTCATTTATCCCCTTTATATCTGTTACATATCCTGCTAAACATATTTTGTAATATCTATTTGATTTGTGCAAAAATATGTTGCTAATCCTGCCAGAAATCTTATGAACTGATAATGTTCTGTGTCTCTGTTGTACTGTTATTAGTTAGCATTGTTCTTGACTCTCTCTCTGGACTACAGACAGCTCCATCCATTTTATGGAGAAGAAAAAGTGGGGTTGTAGTCCTAACACACTTCATGTCCTAGGGTGACAACACTGCCCCTCCATACATACAATACAGTGAGTGGGCATTGTCACCCTAGGACAGGAAGTGAGAAAAACGTAAATAGGAAACATGCATCTACCAAATCTAATGACTGGTAAGCCACAATATATTGGGTTTAGATACGCAGCCATCAACTGTGCTTTGGTCTGAAACATGCACCTCAAGGCAGCTCACTTAAAAGGCAAACTGCAGAATTCCGGAAGCTAGAATTAATCAGAAAAAAAAGACTTAAAAAGTAAAACATTTAAACAGCAAAAGGTCAAAACTGTTAAAGAAGAAATAGAAGATGCTTCATATACTGAGTATGGCTTTCATTATGAGTCATATGACCAATGCTAAACATTTCTTTACTCGGCTTAATCAGAGTAAGACAGAAAGAATTATAACAACTAATGGACAGTATATGATCTCACAGGGAAAAGGGAAAGGTTATCTACACTGCCCTCCATCTCAGTTACCAGGAGGATACTTATCAAAGATGAACTATATGTCCATATTAATGAAAGCAACCTACTCTTGAAAGTAAACTACTGTGACAAAATTGCTCCTCCATAGATACAGTATGGTGAGTGAGCATTGTCACCCTAGGACCGGAAGTGTGTTACTAGCAGGATCACTAGGTAAAAATAGTGTAAAAAAGAAAACATATGCATCCACCACATCTAAATACTGGTAAGCTGCAATATATAACATTTTTGTTCCTGAGTTTATATATGCAGCCATTTAGTCCGCCTTCACTTTGGTCTGATACATGCACTTCACCCAATTGTATTGGTCTTTCAACCACAATTAAACTCTCCTACCAGCCTACAAGTTGGAGCAATTATTTCCCATCAGTGTTCTGCACTTTATAAATACTTGTTGTCTTTTCCATCAATGCAAAAAAAATGTGAGGATGAAATACCTGTACTTCTAAATGTGAAAACATCTTGCTGTAACTTCTATTGTTCTTGTACTACATATTATGTTGCAGGGTGATGCAGGAGTCACTGGCCGGAAGATTATAGTGGACACATATGGAGGATGGGGGGCTCATGGTGGTGGAGCATTTTCAGGGAAAGACTCTACTAAAGTGGATCGTTCTGCTGCCTATGCTGCTCGTTGGGTGGCAAAATCCTTGGTACATGCCAAGCTCTGTCATCGCGTCCTTGTTCAGGTATGTACATCTCTATTTCTTTTATTAGTAACACTTATTAGTATATCAGTATACTAATTATTAGTATATGGGAGCAAAAGTAATCAAGCTGTATTTATAACTGGTTAGTGTTAGTATCATACTATAAGTTTAGATATTATAGTCAGTTAGGGCAAATGTAGGTTGCAGGTAGAGCAGCTGTCAAAGACAAATTATTCACTTGGCAATAGAACACCAAAATCGATTATTTGAACTAGTCTGGGATGGACTGACTCTCTCTTTTGCTGCAGTTTAGTTCTAGGTGTAATGACCCAACGTTGATGAACTGTAAAGTACAATGTACACCATTCCACCAACAGGAATGTACTACTGTTAACATGATGTGTAGGAGGCTAAATCCTGACACCCCCGCATAGCCACGACCTATATTAGCTATGTATATGTTTGACCCTAATAGGAATATGTAGACTTGTTTGCTTGCCCATATATTGTAATAGCACCAATATCACAATATATTCAACAGAACTGACTTTTCCTGAAAGTGTGTCAGAAAATGAAATTTTAGGCATGTTGCCTCCTTAATGTGCTCTGCATAATGTTCCTTATTTAACTGACTGACTTATTTAACAAGTCTGTGCAATGAGTAATGGTGGGAAGTACTGTAATCTAAAGCAATTATAGATAACCATCCATAGGTTTATCCTAGTTCGGATAATTACATTTTTATGTTACTGTGAGTTATTACTCTGCCTCATTATATATGTTAAAGTGAGTGAAATTTTGAATATTATGTTGTCTTGTGCGTGATGGCAGAATTTATCTAATAACTATTCATATTGATTTATAAGGTGGCTTATGCAATCGGTGTGGCCTATCCATTATCTGTTTCTCTATTCACCTATGGGACCTCTGAGAAAACTGAGAAGGAACTACTGGACATTGTCAATAAAAACTTTGATCTGAGACCCGGGGTCATTGTCAGGTAACATGAATAGAACATTACTAAAGAAAAACTATTCAAAATTATATCATGATTTGTTGTAACCTAAAAATTATTAGCAGTTTGTTTCTTCCTAAGTAACAGATGAAATGATTCATTTGAAAGTTAGAAGTTATTGTGTATGTTATAATATAACATTAATATCAAATCCCCCAATTTACTTTCTAGAAAGTTGTGTTTGGAAGTGTTAACCTAAGTGATATAGCTTGTTAATGCTGTATAAGCCTCCACATCTACATGTGTATGACCTGGTTATAAGGTTCGGACATTTGATTGACATTTCAAACAAAATAACAGATTTTTTGGAGGTACAACAAAAGGACCTACATATGGAAACAATTTTGTTTACATACAAGAAAACTATCAAGCATGCTTGTAACACATTATTAAATAAAAAACATTGGAACAAACAAGACATACAAACGTATACTCTATAGGTTGAAATCGATGGACTTTTTTCAACCTGACTAACTATGGAAATATGTAACTATTGGTATTAGATTGGGTATTACAGGACTCCCCATAGACAACAAAGGCTCAGCAACTGCCTTACTTGGTATGTGTTTCTTTTGGTATGTGTTTCTTGGCACCAGTAAAGAGACAATAGACTAGAGTGGGCCTACACAAGGCAGTCAGATCTTTTGATAAGGAATAATTAGACCCCTTGCAGATCATTGTCATGTGATATGCTATCCCCTTCTTCACACATTTCAGGAGGGCTTGCTATTTAAAATAGTGTGGCTGCAGGAAATATCTGCTATATCAATAGAACACACAGTATTTAGGTATTGGCTTGTAGAATGTTTTATACCATCATTTATGTACCATCATTTAGAATACTCGATAGGCTAAATGGGAAATATGAGCAGGGTGGTGTACTGTTTTAAGTTGTCTTAGGTCCTTTTTAGATTGGCTGTTTTTCAGGTGGATCTGATCCGAAGCACAATGTTAGTGTATGGGCAGCCGGATCTAAATGGTCCGTTTACCCCCAATTTTGTTCAGGTCTTGAAAAACAAACGGAACAGAGTTCCGTTTTGGTGGACCTGATTGTGATGGATTGGGGGTAATCTGATGTAAACGGGCACATGTTCGCTTATATTCGACTGGTAAATTATTTTTTTCCCTCCATTGTGATATGCCATTTTAAACTGCTCAGATCAGTAGGGGAACAATGCATGGATCCCCTGCTGGTCGGAACTGTCAAATGCCAGTGTGAAAGAGCCCTTACTATGTGTGAGCCTTGTTGCTACGGGGCTCAATTCAATACAATTTTATGATTGATAAAAAGTATTCATATTTAACTACATATATGTATTTTATGAGTTCCCTCTGGTACTTTGAAAGCCTCCTAATCCTCTCTTTACATGTTTTGCACATAAATGAGATGCTTGCACCTATATACATATAAAATCAACAACCATACGTCTTACATTGTTCATTGTGTGTACTTTATTCATTGTGTCCTTACATTTGTTTTTCTACAGGGATCTAGACCTGAAGAGGCCTATATATCAGAATACTGCATGTTATGGTCACTTTGGCAGAGAGGATTTTCCATGGGAAGTGCCAAAGGAGCTGGTCTTTTAACCAATGGCATAGCAACTAACAGGAACATTCTCATTCAGGAATTCCATATTGTTATATGTACAGATAATTGAATTGGCTGAAAATAGAAATAAATGCAAGTGTGTAGCTCTGGAAGTGAATAATTTCACACCAAACCCAACACCTTCTCTACTTCATAATTCCTATTCAGTGTGCCGCTAAATTATTTATTTTTTCTACATCTGGATTACAGCAAACCTAAAGTAATCTAAATTACTTGACAGAAGGACAAGGGCTTACAGAGCTGGCACCAGACAATGGCGGAGGCAGGTGATTCTCCTGCTCCCGGCCGCCAAGGAGAGAAACAGTGCTGTGTCTTTTTTTCTGTTCTGAGGGACCGAGCAGAACAGCTGAGCCGAATGCTGCTCAGCGGCGTTCGGCTATTCACTCACTGCTGTTCGGCATTTTTAGGAATAGCCCGAACAGCAGTGAGAAGCCTGCCGGAGGTTCGGCTCAGCCGATCCAGATGTTGGATCGGCTGAGTCGAACTCCTTCTGTACTTCGGGTCGGCCGAACATGCTGAGCATGTTGGGCCGACCCAAAGCCACTCGAAGGAAGCCGATTTACGGCTGATTTCAGCCGATGTACGGCTGAAATCAGCCGTACCAGCCTGAAGTGAATAGCCGAACAGTGTTCGGCTCACTTCACTTCAGATCGGCCATTCACTCGGCTGCCCTCGGCAGCTTGGTGAATAGACCCCATAGTCCCTTAACAATGAGCTATCTCATAGAGCTAACACTAGACCTGAACCTAAATCTTATTTCTAAACCCGATGTGAAATTTATATCATGTCAATAATTACTACATTTATAGGGACAAGTACTTTATGACAGTTTAAGCAGCAAAAAAAATCAAAAAATTAAAATATCATGTGATATATGTATTAGCACCTAATAATAATGCAAAAATCATTTGTGCCAAAATATCTGTACAGTATCCATGCACCAAAATTGCATTATCTTGTCGCATAATGTTGAAGCCCAATTGAAGTCTCACACCTTTTTAATCACTTTATAGTCACCCACATGGACATGCCTTAAAATACTTCTTTGTATTATTAAAAATGCTAGTTCCTGCCCTCCTACTCCAGTATTTAATGCTGACTTAGCTAAATATCAGCCACATACCTCATCAACAGTATCACATTGCAGGGAAGGGAAGGGTGTGTGTCAGACCAAGTTTGTTACTGAGTACTAATTACAGTGTACACTAGATGTACCTCTGGTGCCAATTGGGTTGCAAAGTTATATTTAGCCAGAACAATTGCAAATGGAAGCTGTTTGAAAAATCTCTATCTGACTGCATATTGCTGTGGTTTCAATTTGGCTTTTTTTACAGTGGTGTAATGATTTCAAAATGCCCTATGCACATGTATTCAATACCGGAAAAGGAAAATGGGTCAAAAGTGTCCAAAGATCCACAATTGCGAGGCAAAAATTGTGAGGCCACCATAAAGGTATCCACAACAGCCAGAGATCTGAGATGAAACTGACTGTTTTGTGGGAGTTTCCAAAACCAATCAGTTTAATCTCAGATATAAAATGGGTTTTGATAGTTGGTGTGGACTTTTAATGACTGCACCACATCTGTTGCATTAGCTTTTTTTTGTGTGAGTCTGCTGATATAATTTATATGATAGTGTAACTTGGATATTAAATGCGATAGTTTGTCAGCTTTTGCCTCAAGTCTAAAGGATTGTGGCCATCTGTTCCCAAACGTAGGTAATGCTGGAAGGTATGATATTTACAGACAGTTTAAGCTTTGGCTATGCAATATGCTGGTGGGGTGGGGATGGCAATAAAATAAACCTGTTGCTCTGCCCTCCACTGGTAAAGCAGACAGAAATATGCTATGACATCCTTCTAATAACACTAGTGTCTATGACCTATATACCTTCTGTGTTACTGACCTGAAACGAGCCTGCAGATAAGAAAGTCAGAACTCCTAATGTCCACTGACCTGCATGCATGTTCCAGGCCAGGGCATCAAATTAATGAAGCCATTGCATCAGCATTACAGCCAGCCAACTGGCATTTCTCAGAAGAAGTCAGCAATGGCAGCTTCCATAGTCTCCCAGTACAGGTTCCCTTTTAGTATATGACCCCTGTTAGCCAAAGAGTTAAAATATACAAGAGAGCTCTTGCACATTGCAAAACTTGGTTTGCCAAAGGTTCATTTTGCTTTGAAAACTGTGTTTATTTTATCTGTCACAAACATTAGTTTAGTACGAAAGTACAAAAACGTGTTTTATAGATAAAAAATTCAGAATGTCAAATCGCCACTCATGTACTTGCTTTTCTGTATTTGTGCTTTTTGTGCTTTCAAGGTAAAAAACGTTGTTTGAATGTTTAGTCAAGTTTATGACAATGATGACCTCAGAAACCTTCTGTCATTGTGTATTGGAATTTAGATTCAAACATGTTATACAAATCTAAAGCAAAATGGATTGTAATCATTCTCCAAGACAGGTTACATGCTGCTAGTTTATCAGTTTAGTCTGTAATGGTCTTCAATTTAGAAGAAAACGGGGCGTACAATTTTGTACAATTAATTTGTATCTAAAGGAATTTTCTAAACCACTTTCTTGGTGTTAAACATATCTTACAATAAATAGCAATAAAACAGTGTTTTTAACCATTTTGTTTTTCATTATTTTTGATTCGGTGTATCTCACTCTATGTAACACTTTTAAAAGGACTTACAGTATATCTAACATGGGTTAAAAATAGGGTACGAGTACATGTACCGATACTTTTGAGCTCCAAGACTACACTAGAGAAAAATTCAAAAATTAGGAGGCAGCTGTCATTTGTAAGGAGCACACAGAGCTCCTGGGATTTGTACATCTCTGTTTTTAATGTACGTTTTTGTTTTTATAAATATAAATAAAGGGATGCACAGATACCAGTTTTGCGAGTACGAGTACTGGTACTTGCCGAGTACTTACAAGTACGAGTACTGATACATTTTTGTTTATTGTCATGTGACAGTTTTTTAAAAACAATACAGACTAATGATTTCAGGACCGTGGTGGAGTGCCAGAGCCTGGTCCCAGCTGCAACCGCTGCAACCCTGGTAGTTCTCCTGAAAATCCCAAGTATCTGCACTAGTACTCTAAAAGTATCTGTGCATCCCTAGTTAAAAATAATTATACCTAATAATATGTTTGAAAAGGTAGGGGTAAGAGGTTACCACTAACAGAGATTACATGAAACTCCAGGCAGATATAACACACAAATGTATGCATAACTGTTGAAGAGGAGATTTCCTTACTTTGGAGAGATTTCCTCTCACTCCCCTTTGTGCCTACAGGACAGGTAGTGATGGAAAATCTTCCCAATGGGACATAATTGGCAAAAAACTGGTGGGGTGTTTACATTATCAAAAGTTAAAAATAAAGTTAAATTATATATTACCTAACATACAAAGTCAAGCTTGATCCCGCTCTCCCCCTGCTTCCCAAGTTTCCCTATGGGTCCTTTGATATGTCCACCTACCAGTTGGCAGGCATTTGTGTAACGAGTGGGTGGAGCCAAATTCTTTACTTTCACAGACCTAGCCATTTACATGTGTACAATGTCTACACATGACTCATATCCATGAGTTTGGCTAGAGAAATAAATGGAAAAATATGTTCCCAGTAGATGGGCCATAGTTTACTAATCACATGAACAATCTTGCTTTCATTGCTACAGGTGTGATAATGACTGTATACCTTGCAAGACTACAAAGATAACCAGTCAACTAGAGGAATTTGTAATTGTAATTTGTGAGCAGGCCATAGGAGCTGGTAGAACCTCTAAGGAACATCAACTGGCATGCAAACCTAATTGCTAATTGAGTAACTAGGGTATTTGTAGCTTTTGCTGTAATTATTTTAAGTAAGCTGACCTTAGCGTTACAGGTTGTCAGGGTACCACGTGCGGGTGTCCTCGCACTACATGCAGATACCCACACGGGAGGACCAAATACGTGACCACACCAGAAACTGCCACTGAGCTTATATACCGTTTATTATACACACCAAAACATAACACAAATAACCCCACCAACACCCACAAGTAACCACACACAAGTAATAGTAACTAACTAAATGTAAACACAAGCACATACAAAAGGTAACAAGGCAAGTAAACCCAGGAAGCATAGAACCACAAGGGGAGCCAAGGGTCAAGGTAAAGGAACAAGGAGGTTACAGACTACAGACTCAGGACATGGCAACAATACCGAGCCAAAGTCCAGACTGCAGGGAGGGATTAAATACCCTCCCAGGTAGCACCAGGTGGTGAATAATCGCTGACAGCTGGGAGACACCCGCAGGTGAGCACCGGAATTGCAGGTTCCAGCGCCACCTGGAGGTGATATGGTCCCTGACACAGGTTGAGGAATGAGCATTGTTAATGATATACAGTGCTTTAACAAATTTGTCATTGTGATATACGTTTATATATTTTAACATATTACTTTAGATTTAGATTTTATTTAGATATTGCCAAAAGAAGACTAAATATATACTTGTCAAATCTAGAGTATGGGATTCATTAGTCTTTACATCTGCAATATTATTTTTAAAAATGCTTTTATTTCCTAGTGTGAAAAGCAATATAAAATACTTTTAAAATAAACAGGCACATAAATTACAGGAGAACTCCAGTTTTGTTAAAAAATATAAAACATGTACAGTTGCTACACCATCTATCTAATTTAATGTTGTCACACATTATTGCTGACTTGTATGAGGACACTTTAATTGCAGGTGCTGTTTACTATGGAAACTGCTAGAACCCCCCACCAAAGGTGTTTAATTACCTCTCCATGATGGTAATGACTTCCATGAGTGTTTACATTCTCAGGCGGGAAATCCTCTATGGGACCAGTGCTCCCCATAGATTTGTTGAACAGCCACATTCCTACACTAGAGACACTAGGAGTATGACCCTATTGAAGTCTATTAAACCCTTGCTACTCAGGAGGGTTTCAGAATGTGAACAGCAGAGAAGGCCATCACCATCAATACTCTCTCCACCTACTACATATTGAAAAAGCCTGTCTCTATCTATCTACCTTGTTTATCTCTGTGTCCCTATTGCTATGTTTTTAGGTTTCTACAGGCCCACCATTATAAAGTCCTTTGACCTGATTTACTTAAGGCAAATAGGCTGCTCACCTGCCAAAGGAATTTTCTCTTAGCTTGGAGAAAGTGTGGAAAATTTGCTCCCAAAATGTACATAATTACGTGGAAGGAAAAAAAACCCCATTCACTAAGC